TAGTGAGACCATGTACTAAATACAAAAAAAAAAAAAAAAAAAAAAAAGGAAAAAGGGGGGATGGACTTGTGGGTTAGCTCAGTTGTTTAAAGCACCTGCTTGGGCAAACTCAGTCAGGCACAGGGGACCATGGTTTGATCCCCACCTCTGCAGGCCGTACCAGACCTATCCTTAAGGCAGCCTGTGCCAGCCAAAAAAAAAGATTTAAGGTACTAAAAAATAAAGTTCATTTGTTAAAAAAAATGAACTGATGTCATGAATTGGGTTGTAATCTGCAACTTAAAAAATATTCAAGTAGTCTTCAAAAACAGTTTTTCAGGCAAGATTTTTTTTTTTTTGTTTTTTAGGGAAGGGTCTACAGAGAGTTCAGGGTCTCACTACTAGATCTGACTCGTAGTGATCTGCCTGTTTACAGCCTCCCAAGAGCTGGGATTACAGGTACGCACCACCACGCCTAGTCTCAGGCAATGAAAGTTTTTATTCGGTAATCACATTCTAATTTTAGGATTGATAAAACTTGTCAAAAAGCTTCAACTTTGGGCCAGGGAGATGGCTCAGTAGAATAAGCGCTTCCCTGGCAAGCTCAAGGGCATGAGTTCAATCCCTGGTTCTGCAAAAAAAAAAAAAAGCTTCAACTTTATTTATTTATTTATATTTTTTCCCATAATTTTGTTGAGAAATAAATAGCAATGAGAAAGCTTCAAATCGAATTGGTAGGACAGTTCCAATAATTAACACATTGCATACTGCCTTCCTAGTGGTTATTTGTTATACAAGATGCAGACATGATATCCTATTTACAAACACTATCAGAACAAATCCCTCTATTCCTTGAATTAAGAGAATGTAGCTATATATCTATCTTAACCATTTTGATACACAGATACAAAATGGTCATTCATCTATATCCCCTTTGTTTAGTTCCATCATTTAAATATTATAGCTATGTGAACTCAGCAAAATATTCCAAAATAGTACAGTAGTCCATTATAGTACTGGGTCTTCCACTTGACTGGCAATGTCAGAAGTTGTTGACCTGAGTCTTCTACAGCTCAACATAACATGACTTTACTTCTTGTACTTCGTTTCTATACTTTTCTGCTGGATGGTTAAGACCAAGATAAAGCAGGACCTATGTAACTAGAATTGTAGCTTTTGGGTCTAATAAGGTCAGTCAAATCTCAGGATTTATTCTGAGACCCTGTACCTTGGATTGTAGATCCTTTGTCAGTGTCAGCCATGTGGGTGAGTCACGGCCATTGCTTGGCCAATTTAAAAAGCTTCAACTTTAATAACGGTAACAGCAAAATCCGTATTGCATTTTTTTTGGTGGAACTGGGGACTTAAGGTAACAGCAAAATCCAAATGAAAGCACTGCCTGAGCTTATACTTCCTTACCTGGGAAGTTATCTTTTTTTTGAGCCACATCTTGGAAATTACCTTTATGAGGCAGAATCACCCATTTCTCTAGAACTGTTATTAAGGAGATCTGTAAGATAATACCTTGTATTCAAAACCTTTACCACCTTCTCTTCAGGTAAAGATAAAAAGGATAGTTTTCAAACTTAAACTGTGTAAACTTTCCAAAATTCTCATACTTCCTCAGCCTAAAGTTTTGTTTTCACTCCAGCTGAATAACAATGAGATCATTATCTCTGGTGGCCTTTAACTCTCAGTGAGCCCAAGCCTGAATATCCAATATCTGTAGGAATACTGTTCTCCACTGGCGCTTCTACACTTAACAGCATAGACTGTATTACATCACACAGATCCATGAAACTTCTCTGACACAACCTTTACATGATTTAAAATTTGGAGGCAGTTTTCTGGATAACTGTCCTTTAACCACTCCAATGAGAAGAATCTCGCCAGCTTCTGTTTGTGACTAACACAACAGTGGATTAGTACGGTGATTCCTAGAGACATACTCAATCTTAAATGATCAAAGACTGTCCTAGAAGGACAACCTGCACTCGAAAAGACAGAATCCTTTAGAAACAAATGACTACAAAAAGAAGACAGCTTTCACCCCAGTCTGTTGGACCAGGCTGATGTCTACATGAAGTACTTGTGTCCCAGAAACAGGGGACAAGATAACTGGAGCCACTGATTCTCATACCCGAATCTATGTAATTGGCTGTTGTGGACCTTCTTTTAGCAACACTTTCTCCTTTTCTAATAAGAATATTGACATTTGCTACCTCATAATTTTGATACTTGTAGAGCCTATATTCTTAATATTGCTCTTTTTAACCAGGCAGTCCTTTGCATAATAAACACTTGGCTGAAACTTATTCTTTTTTTTGCAGAACTGGGGATTGAACTCAGGCCCTTGTGCTTGCCAGAGAAGCGCTTATTCCACTGAGCATCTCCCCAGCCCTGAAACTTATTCTTGAGCCAGCTAAGACCAGTAATTAAACCCACAGTTATGCCTGTACTTAATTTCCTGTAGATACCTCCCAATTTGGTGCCAAGTGTGCAGTCAATTTTCTACATAACTGGATTCAACCATGAGATGACTTTTTAAATGACAAAATTTAAAAATTTATGCAACATGGCTACTACACTTATAAGCTTGTATATCTGTATCACACTGAGAAAGTAATCTTTCTACTTTTTAAAAGCAAAGTCAGTAAGAAACACTATATTTTCCCAAGCATAGTCTGTATATGTAAAGTTTCATATAATGACCCCCTAATTATACTGCATGTTTACTGAAATCATAGACTATCAGAAACTTTCCTGTGTGAAATCATATTCATTACAATGAATCATTTTATTCTTTCATGGAAGATCCAGGTCATGGACAAACAGAAGCAGACTCAATTTTTAACCCAGATGTTGACCTCCAAATATAGGCATTTTGAATACAACAACTTCTGGCTCTAGTCTTACAGCACAGGCCTGATGTTCACCCTTTCATACATGTTAAACTTCACCTGAGCTCCACTTTTCTCAAAATCTTATCTCCATCTTGTGTTTTCCTGTGATGAAATGGTGTACAGCTTTTCTGATATGTGTTCTAATTCACCGAAAAAAGTCAATAAGCATGATTTTGTTGGACTATGCATTTGTCCCTGGTGGACTTAAGACTGGGCCAGGTTCACAGTAATTATTTATATTCACTAAAAATACATAGTAAGAATGCTGGCGGTAGTACTAATAACCCCAAACTGGAAATAAACACCTGCCAATGGAAGAATAAACTGGTATGATACTACAATGGACTGCTACACAACAGTGAGAACAGTGATCTACTGTGACACAAGTCATAAATGACTCTTGCAGACGTAATCCTGAACAAAAGAAAACCAGAAAAAAAGAAAAAAGAAAAAAAGAAAACCAGGCAGAAAAGTATGACTTCTAAAATCTCGTCTGTCTGAAGACCAAGATCAAATGAAAAGCAACCTATGATGACAGCAATTAGAACCATGAGCAGCCTGGACAGGAAAAGGGCCGGGGACTACAGCACACAAGGTTGTGAAGGTGCGCAAGAGCGCTCTCATCTAGGATCGTGTTCCCTACCTTGACCAGTGGCAACCACAAGAATGTGTGGTGGCAGCCACAAGAATGAATGTGTATTACATTTATTATGTTTTGTACATGCATTTTAAAATATAATGTATTTAAGATTTGAGCATTTTACTATATGTAAGTTACAGCTCAATTTAAAAAACTGGAACAAGCTAGGTGTGGTGGCCCATGGCTGTAATCCCAGCACTCAGGAGTGTGAGGCAGGAGAATCACTGTGAATTCAATGATTCTGAGCTATGTAGTAAGACCTCCTCATCTCAAAAACAAAAACAGTATGAACTAACTAGCCATGTGTAAGATTCAGTAAGCAGGAACAAAAACTGCAAAAATATTCCTGATAGAGATAAAAGGTAGACACATCACTAATAAAATGATCCTAAATTCCACCAATTTCTATCTGGTACTTCAAGCACACAATGTTTATTCTGTGAGGATATAGTATTCTAAGGACTCATGAAAGAACTAAATCTTGAGTCCTGGCATGCCTGTAATCCGCACTTCATAGCGAGACTCTGTACCAAATACAGAAATGAAATATAAATAAATAAAATAAATAAAAAGAACTAAATCTTGAACTCTTCCCCGAAAAAGCTTATTTTGGTTAAGAATAAATATCATAATGATATCAACTATCTCAAAGTTAAAATACAACTAAGATTATCAGAAAAAATATTAAGATATTTTTCAACTAGGTAGTTCATTCTTAAATTTAAATGGGGAAAATTGTCAAATGTCATAGTGAAAAAAAAAGGAGAGCAACAAGGTACATACATTTATACATAGGAAAACAGGACAAAAGAGAGAGTAGTTCTAATAGATTTTAACAGATATAAAAATCCAAAATATACTCCTGGCACATGAATACACACTAGAATTTCTAGAAAGTGCTCTAAAACATGTAGAATTAGTATTAAAGTCAGTACTAAGTAGTACTAAGACAAATGAGAAGTCATCTATAGAAAAACTGAAGTTGAGATGATATCCTCTCTCTCTACTAAATATTTTATAACAAAGTTTTAAATATAAAAATACAAAAAGGAAAATTCTTCTATAACCCTGGATAAATATTAGAACTGGATAAATATGATATAAACCCAAAGACTATTAAATAAAAAATGAATTCCATTCATTACATTAATGGAATATAACCTACATATAGTAAAGAATACAGTTTCTTTTTAAAAAAAAAATATTTATTTATTCATTTATTTGTGTGTGTGGCGGGGCTGGCTGGCATGTGGTGCTGGGGGATTGAACCGCGGTCCCTTGTACTTTGCTAAGCTTGTTCTAAGTAGGTGCTTTAGACCACTGAGCCATCTCACCAGCCCTAGAATACAGTTTCATAAAGGAAATAAACTTCACTTTTCCATCTGATATCTGAAGCCCATGGAGTTCATTGAGATTATGTAAGACAATAACATAAAAAGACAGCACTAAAAAAGACACTTAATCTTGAATTATTAGCTTAATTATGAAAAGTCTTGCTTGAAACAATTGATATGGAAAGGACATTCTAAAGCTCCAGTGACCTAGATTTCTAAACCTGTATCGAAAGAACTATAAATACTCAGATTAAGAAAACAGAGATTCAAAACTCCCACCTGTAATACTTTTAATTACCTCAAATATATAATGAATTATATTCTGATGGTTTACAGTTCCTGTATTGTTAGTCATATATCTCATTTTAACTCTTAAAACAACTTATATTTTAGTTGTTTTAACTCTTAAAACAACTAGGAATTTAAGTCAATAAACCTATGCCTGGGCCGGTCAGATAGCTCAGTGGATTGAAGTGCCTGCTTAGGCAGACTCAGGGACTAGGGTTTAATCCCCCGTGTGCCATGCCTCTGCTGGCCCCGACCCCCAGGTGCTCTGAGATGTGACTGAGACGGGGCATGGTGGCACACCCCTGTAATCCTAGCTCTTGGGAGGCTGAAAACAGGAGTCGTCTGATCTGTGTAGTGAGACGCTGTACTAAATTTATAAAACAAAACCAAAAACCTATATACCTCAAACTTCTTTCCAACCTACTGCTAACCAATGGTTGATAAAAAAAATGTTGTATCAATGATTAACTTATTAAATTAAAAAAAAATCAATCTTTTAAATATTTATTTTAGAAAGATTCATTTTCTCATTAATATGATTTAAAAAACTGAAACCAAACCAAATGCTCAACAATAAGGAACTACAATATATCAACTAATAGAACATTATGCAACCATTAAGCACAATGATTATAAGACAAGCTAATATATGGAAATATTTGTATGTTAAACAACACTGCACGGATAATATTTAATTACATAAAAATATACATACATGCAAAAGTGGGAAGGAAATTTGGCAAAAAAATACTATAGCTTGGCTTAGGTTGCAATGATTATGTATAGTGTTAATTTTCTATTTTTTCCTCTTGCAAATTTCTGGCAGTGGACACTATTATCTACATAGTTAGAAAATAAAAAAGTATTTAAAAACTATAATCTAAGGAAATTCTAATAAAAAAAGGCCACTCATATTTTAGAGGTATGCTGATATGATAAAGTACAAAGTCTCAACTAGTCAAGATTTTACTATTCCAAAACAACCACAAGACTACCAGATCATCCCTCCAATACCAACAGAAACTGTATCCCAAACACATACAATTTATTTCTGAAGCCGTCCGCTCAGCTCTGGCATTCCTGTTTGTAGATCTGATGGTATGGCGAATGATGGCATGGGGCTGTGGACACAAGCACAATGCACACTCTTGACAAAATTCCAGTAATACAGTAAAATGGGCAAACTTTCTCTTATTTAAGTGATCATTTACTGACAAATGTGATCATCTAATAAAATTACAGGAAAAACACAACAGATACTTTAAAAATTTATTCACTTATTCTATATTTATACTATGTAAAATGCTGAAAGGTTTCAGAGAGAGAGACTGACATCAACTTTGTCCTCAAAGAATTTTTTCCTAAGACATATAAATATCTAAAAAATTAGCAAATGGATTACTACTGAAGCCCAGTGAAGCGGGAACTGACTTGTATAATGACTTGAAACAACAGACAAATTCTGCATGAAAATGCTGTAATTTCACCTGGGGCCCTGAAGTACAAGTAGGTGTTGATGCACAGCAGTATGGAAGAAGTGTTAAGAGAATAGAAAGAACACGAACAAAGTGACACAGGAAAGAAAAGGAAACTGTGGAGCATTCTGCAAAGGGTAGGGATTGGGTGGTATTTGGTGGCAGTCAGTGAATATTACATATAAAGATGACAAAGCTGGAAAGACAGACTGCTGGTGAGTCAATCCCGAAAGGCCCTGAATGTCAGGCAAGGGCTCTCAACTTTGGAGATTTTTATAGCAAGGGAGCACTATCATCAGAGCCAGCTTGAAGGGTAAGCTAGTAAGTGTCAGAGAATATGAAGGACAGCAACACTGGATACAAGGGGATTCAGAATACTGTAACTAGAATAAGCTGCTTATCACTTTTGCCTTCTTGTAGGAGCTCCTGCTCCTTTCAAGTTACACTTTTGGCCTGGTCCTATCTACCACATTTCTGGTGACTTGTTCTCCTTCGCTGATGGCACTGAAAGTGCATGTGTTATTTCTTCTAGTTGAAAACCCACCATCACAGCAAGAGAATTCAAAAGGTGATGTGGGTCCAGAGTTCTAGATTCAAGAGCTGCTCACATCAATGCACTCCTTTTTTTCCCCACACAACACAGTCAGTGCAAACACCCCTCTCCAATTCATCTTCCTCCAGCTACTGATCTGTGTTATGCATCCCTTCACAACTAAACTTCATAAATTCCTGTCCTTATCATTCGAGCTCCTCCAATCTAGCTTCCTCTGCACTACTTGCAAATTACCTTTGTAAAAAGCATTAAACACTATATGCTACCACCTAAACCCCAAGACTTCAACTTCAATATTTTTATTGAAATCCTCCTTATTACATTGTCCTTTATGAATCTCCTTGATCAACTTGATCCTTAAAGCTTGAGAGAAACCTGGATTCTGTCATAAGCTTTCTTTTGTTATTATTGCATGCTTCCTTTGGTGACCGTGTTTATTCATTAAAGCACAACTACATCTATCCTGTAACTACCGCATCTATATTTGTAAGCACAACTACATCTACACTTTTCTTCCCAACCTGCAACTATCTAGCTCTTTACTAGACTTCTCTACTTGAAAGTCTTATACAACACCTTGTTCAGTATGAAACTGAATTTATCTTTCTTTCCAAACTGATTTTACTCTTTCTTTGTTCCTACCTTAGCTAGTGGTTATACTCCCAGCTTCTTTCTTTCTTTTTTGCAGTACTGGGGATTGAACTCAGGGCCCTGCACTTGCCAGGCAAACACTTAATTCTACTGAGCTATCTCCCCAGGCCCCCTCCCAGCTTCTTAAATAAAAATCTGGTAGTAATTGCTTTTCATCCCTCAATCTCAGGTCTTCATCCAATCACCAACTCTGTCCAATAGTTCCTAAACCAATCTACTTGACTGGCTCACTGCTCTCCCACTGTAGTTGAAGCTACTTATAGTAGCTTATCATTCCTAACAGTGACAGCTGTAGCGGCTTACAAGGTTTTCAGTAATGCACTCACCATTTTAAATTCAGAGATCTTTATAAAATGCACATCTGATTATGTCACACCCTCACCCTGTAATAGCTTCCTATCCTACCTGAACATTTTAACATGGTTTCAGATGGCCAGTATCTAGCCTTCTAGTGTTATAACTTTCTTATTTTCTGTTCTATCCAGACTAACTTTTCTTCAGTTCTTCAAGTATGCAACCTTCTCTGTTATCACCAGGCTTTCAAAAATGCTAATATTTCTCTGCTCCCAACACTCTTGCTCTCTTCTTGTAATCCTTCAGTTTTTCACTTCACAGATACTTTTCCATCCCTACAGTATGCCTTCAGTGCTCCCTAGTGTACTTGTCACACTTGCACTTTTGTTGATACTTCTGAATCTCCTTTGAGATTATACCAGAAGTTCTGTGAAGGTAGTCAGTTTTATTTACCACTGTGGTCCCAACCAGCTGGCAGAAGGTTTTGTATTTCAAGGATTAAAAAAGAATAGTAGTATCATTAAACAGTAAAAGAAAATTCAGAAAGTAGGGAGAATCTGGGAAGTAAAGAAAAGTACTATGGAGGTTGCTTATTTATATATCAGTGAAAGATTAAATGAGCAATCAAGTAATATCTAATTCTGTATGCTATAAATTTTAATATTTTTGAATCTGTAAGGGACTAAAACATCTATCTCAAGTATGCAAAGTGACAGTTCAAGTGAAAAAGCTATATATAGCTAATTTACATAATGTTTTCAACTAAAATTAATTTAACATTTAACAAACTATTTATTGGGTATTTAATATATGACAGAATTAGACTGTGTATTAGGTAATGTGGACTATAAGATTAGTTTTTGTTTGTTTATGTATCTGGTATAGGGTCTCACTACACAGCTTAGACTTGTACTGATCCTCCTGTTTTCAGCCTTCTCAATGCTGGGATTACAGGCAAGTGGCAACACATCTGGTCTCTGTGGCCAGCTCAATATACCTGGGGGCAAGGTTGGTGCAGCATGTGGTATCAGGGATTGAACAAGATTAGTTTTTAAAAACTGTCTAATGAGGGCCGGTGAGATAGCTCAGTGGACTAAACTCCTGCTTAGGCAAGCATAGGGACTGGGGCTTTGATCCCCACTACCACATGGTGTGCCAGCCCTGCCCGAGTCTGGCCGTGGTGGCTCACACCTGTAATCTCAGCACTGGGGAGGCTGATAACAGGATGATCACCCCAAGTCTGAGCTGTGTAGTGACATCCTGTACCAAATACACAAAGAAAATAAAAATGTGTAATGACTATTTCTATTAAGTACTTGTAATGGTGAGTACAAAGTACAGATGATGGTGTTTTAAGATAAGTGACATGTAAGCTTTAGTTGTCTATTTTTGCCAAAAATATAGGGAGAGATATAAAGGAAAACAAAAGCATAAAGATAAATGAAAGGACTCAAAGAAACACAGACATAAAACTGAATTGTAAAAAGATAAAAAACCTGAGGAGAGAACAAAACATTGGTAAAATATATAGTTGCTTTATACCTAAACAGCAATACCAAAAAGAATAGAGGTATTTGCCAATGTTTATATATTCCTGACACATAAATTGTTACATATGATATATTCAAAACAACTCTACCATATTTTCAGAAAAGAAAAGCATACATATACTCTTACATATAACTATATAAGCAATACTTTCAAAGTAGTGGAAAGGATAATATTTTCTAACGAGAACTGCAACTTAATTCTTTGAAATCATTTGTATTAATAATATACTTTAACAGAGAAAAAATGGTCAATTGAACTTGTAAAGAGCTTTTATGATGAAAATAATATGCATGTGTCCCACAACTAAGCTTTTTTCTTAGTTCAAAGTAACTGTCTGAACCTTTACTTCCTAGGAAACAGATGTCCTTTACATAAGCCCTACAGGAAGATCTGCCCCTCAGGGCACAAGCTGAGATCTTCAGAGAAGGAGAAGGGAAAGCAGCTCTGGATTTCCCTCTATGTGAGGGGGAGGTGGGAGGGCAGATCTACATTTAACCTCAGCTATGTCCTAAAAACTTCATACAAACCAAAATAGGAAAATAAAAAGACACTATGTTACCTAATAGAACTAGAATTAAGACAAGTATCAATAGGTCATGTTACGTGTATCAATCCACAATAACAGAAATTCTTTCCCCCTCTCTAGTCCCCCTTCCTATCTGAACATTTTCTTCCAACTTCACAATTATCTATTATACATTTTGGTCCTTATTTACACTTTTGGTTTCTCACACCAGAGAAACAGTGCAGTATTTAAACATGTGTCTGACTTATGTCACTTAAAGAATATGGTACTAAAATACATCCATTTAGCTAGCTATGTCTCAAAATTATCCTTCTTTTAGCAGAGTAGTTCTCTATTACATAAAAAGCTATTATCTTCCTTACCCATTCATTGGCTGATGGGCATCTGGGTTGTTCCCAAGATTTATCTATTATTAACTGTGCTGTTATAAACATGGGTATACCTATACTGATGTGGTATAATGCTTTTAATTCTTTCAGACAGATACCAACAAGGTGAATAGCTGGGTTAAATGAAACTCCTAGTTTTGGTTTTCGTGAGGAATTTCCACATGATTTCTATAGTGGATGCACCATTTATACTCCCAGCAACAGTAAAAAAGGGTTCCTCTCTTTCCACAGCACTGTCAGCATTTGTTAGTGTTTCATTTCTTGATTTCTAGAGTGAGATGGAATCTCAGTGTTATTTTAATTTGCATCTCTTGAATGATCAGTGATGCTGAACATTTTCTCATATATTCATTTTCCATGTCTACTTCTTCATCTGGGAAGTATCTATTCATTTTAGATGCTTATTTTTGGACTACATCTTTAAATTTGGAAGGGGGGGGTCTGATTATTTTGAGTTCTTTATAAGTAGTAGACCTTGGAGAAACAGCCTGCAAAAATTTTTCCCACATTGTAGGTTGGCTCTTCATTTTGTTGGTGTTTTCTTTTGCTGTGCAAAAGCTTTCTTTCTTTCTTTCTTTTTTTTTTTTTTGCTGGAACTGGGGATTGAACTCAGGCCCTCTACTGAGCCATCTCCCCAGTCCCCTGCAAAAGCTTTTTAATAAGATGAGATGTTGGTATAATGGGGTTTTTGTTCAAAAAGTTTTTGCCTATACTACTGTCTTCAAGAGTTCTACCTATTTGATCTTCCAGAACATTTAGTGTTTGTTTTAGTTTAGATCTCTGATCCATTTCAATTTTAATTTAGTGCATGGTGAAAGATATGGATCTAGTTTTAACCTTTGCGGCAAACTATTTTATTATAGTTTGCCTATACTCATTTATTAAAGAGACTATCTTTCTTTCAGAGAAAAGAAGGGATATATGGAAACAAAACTTTAGTAAATAAGAAGATGTGGTTGAAGGGAGGATACGGGAATGGGAAAAAAAAGAATCAAGATATATCATGTACAAGTACAAATTCCCTATGATGAATGTGATCATTATCTATACCTAAAATGTACCAAAATTTTGTAACTTAATAAAAATGTATCGATTGGTAATTATATACGTAGTAAGTATGGTTTATACAGCATTTGTAAGTAAACTTATTTTACCTAAATTGAAATAGGTTTTTAGGGGCCAGGGAGATGGCTCAGTGGAATAAGCGCTTCCGTGGCAAGCGCAAGGGCCTGAGTTCAATCCCCGGTTCCGCAAAAAAAAAAAAAAAAAGAGAAATAGGTTTTTAAATATTAGTGTCCACACTCCCTTACCTCAAAATCGTCGTCATCTCCTTCAGCGTAATGTATGTGGTTGTCTGGATTGTTTACTTTGTCCAACAGTTCAACTGCGAGGGCCCTAGAGAGGCCAGGCTGTCCAACGAAAGTATGCTAAGTGAAAATGAAACAAAATAAAATTTTATAAATATGCCTTTCCATGTATTTTTAAAACAGAATGTTATTTGTACTTTTCCCCCCAGTAATACCAAAAACATGCATAAAGTCTACCAGTACAAATAAACGGATACTGTATTAAAAATACTAATCAGTAAATCCTTTACTACAGATTATATAACAAAAATCATTTGTGGGTAAGCTTAAAAATGAGTAATTCTTTATCTGTTCTATATTAGGTTGTAAGTTGTAATTGCACCTACACCAATGACATTCATTATTTATGCCATTATAGTGACATGCAAATGATATTATTCATAATCACAATCAGAAAAAACATACTATCTATATTTACATATAATTCAGTTAAACTACAAACTGTTTTAGGTATTGATATTTTCTCATGCAAAAGTTTTTACACATATAAACACATAAAACACATTATGGATTTATGTAAGCAGATAACAAAAGCAATTTTAGATGACAAGGACATTTTTAGGAGTCTCTTTAAGGCAAAGATCATCAAACTACAGCTCGGGCAAAATCTGGTATACTACCACTTTTCTGTACATAAAATTTTACTGGGTATTGAAACTATACACATGCCATGTATACCCTCCATGGCTGTACTTGCACTACAATGGCAGGGGAGAATTGAGCAGTTGTGATAGAGACTGCATAGGTAACAAGGCCTGAAATATTTTTCTATTTGACCCCTTACAGAAAATTTGCTGACCCACTACTGTAAGAGATTACTAACACATATTAAAAACCTAAATATTTTCCAGTGATGCCTAAGTCCTGTATAACTATAGAAAATCCTTATTTTCAATGACTTACAGTCAGAAGTCTTTCAGCAGTTGGTCTTTTTCTTGGGTTTTTAGTTAGTGCTATTTTGACAAAATTATGGAATGTTGATGACCTTAAAATAAGAGACATGTACAAAAATATTTCATTAATGTTGATGATACTAAGTAAAATTAATTAGGAGTTAGAAAATCTGAAACATATTATTTTTTATTTTATGTCACTCAGTGTTACATGAGCCAAAAAAAAAACAAAAAAACAAAAAAAAACTAAACCCGAAGTACAGTATATTCCTTGGAAATATCTGGGTCAGTTTCATCTTTTAAATAAAATGCAGTTAGGTAACAGAACAGTGATATTCTTAAAATGTTACACTAAAACTTAATGGATGGACTGTACCATGGACTATACAGTTTATATTTTTTCTAAGTACTCTCATCCTTAGATGTCAAAATGTACTAGTCTTATTGCACTACTCAAAAGGATACAGCTTGCAGGGTAGAGGGTGATGTAAAAGATTTTTTGAATCCTGAAAAGGCTACTGGATTTAATGGGTAGAAAAAAGAAGTAGGAAGTGATTTTAGCAATCAGAAAGATTTTTCTGCTTCCTGCATGGGTAAAGTTGGAAATGCAAAAAGATATAAATTAAAAGGATCATATTTTCATTATTAACAAGTTCCCAACAGTGCTGCAACTTTTACGTTTCACTGGCAGGCAGCTATGCCTGAATCTGACCAATTCCCTGGCTTGAGCTACCAGTGGTACATGCACAACAGTCCACAGGACACTTATACTGTGTCTTGAGTAGCCTTCGATTACAATAATATGGAAAAAAGCACTGATCTAGCAGACTAGATGTCATCACATTACAGTTCCTTAAGGAAAACATTAAAATGGTATAAAAACTTCAGTACAGCTAACTTGTGGTACAGCAGTTGCAAATGCCTATTATATACACTAGCAATGGGGCTCTTATAAGACTTTCAGATTAAAATTTAGAAAATTAATATTTTTTTTGTATTTTAGGAAAGGGTCTACAGGGTATTCAGGGTCTCACTACTAGAGCAGACTCGTAGTGATTCTCCTGTTTACAGCCTCCCAAGTGCTAGGACTATAGGTGCACGCCGCCATGCCCAGTCTCAACTGCCATCTCAGCAGGGCCCTGGGGCGGGTGCACGGCAGGCTGGGGTATTGAACCCCTTGCCCCTGCACCTGCTTGCAGGCACTTTAATCTGCTGAGCTATTTGGCCGGCCCTAGAAAATTAATTATTGATAAACTATTTATGAATATAAATTTCTCAATAGTATTAATATTTGTATTTTGGCAGTAATTATTTGAATTCAAGCAACTAAGGAGATTCAGTCAATGTAATGCTTTTTTATTAGATCCATTTGTACCGCAGTGGAAAGAGGGCTGTTTCAATCACTGCCAAGATCCCACTATGGGAGATCTGGACCAGAACCAAATAAACTAAATAACCTTCATGATCGTTAGCAGTGGTAACAACACAGCAGCTCTCAGCAGAGAAATGTAGTCATTGCACTGCAGCTGGTAGCTTGGGACGAGAGAATATGGAGTCAGTATCAAAGACTGGCAAAGATTCTTCAGTAGTAAAGAATGTTCTGGAACCTGAGTAATGAGTTTAACAGTCATTTATTCCTGAATGAATATCCAGTCATTCCTGCCATAAAGTCTTTCAGTTTCAAATGGCTAGGAACTCTGGGCAAACAGGAAGAAACTGGTGTCAAAGAAAAACAAAAAGAGCAGGAGGATATAACTCCTTTATTTTCACTGCATGATTTGTCTTTCATTACTGCCTTCATCCCAAAAGTGTCCTGGCTCATCCTACATGAAACTATGCTCACACAGGTTATGAAACACAAAGCTGTTTAGAGTCTATATGGGTGAAAGGCTCTCTTAACATCTGAAATAAAATTTGATTATCTCATTAAAAAAGTAAGTATATGACATATCTGGAGTTCATGGGACACTCTGGAGATTCATATAATCTAGGTGATGAACTTCTGAATTTAAGGACTTGGAAACCTTTATTTGCCTTACAGATGAGATGTATTTGCCTGCTTTATAAAATGTATACAGAAGATATTACAAGAAAATTACTAATTTTTATCATCCGAATGGTGACATTTTTATTCAACTATAGTGAAAGGCAAACTACTTTATTTTGAAGAGAAAGAAGGGATTGGAATGAAAATAATAAGTAACACTTTTTACTGGAAGGAAAATAAAAACTAATAGAGACTAATTTTAAGTGTCACAGAAACTTTTTCATCAAAACCATTCTTTAAAATCAATACAGGACAAATACAAACTTCCAAAATCTTCATGCATTTATTTTAAAGCTTTTTCCTACCACACTCAAACTACTAACACAAAAGTTTTACTAAGAGTAGTGGATTATAAAAAATAAACCTAGATCCATGCCACAATTTTGACAATATATTACCTATATAACTTTGGGGAAACTGCCTAATACTGTTGGACTTCAGCATCATTATGTATAAAAAAAGACGAAAATGGGGATAGTGGTACATTTTTGTAACCTGTGCACTCTGGGAGGCTGTGACACGAGGATTACAAATCTTAATCCAGCATATGCAACTTACTGAGATCCTGTTTCAAAATAAAGACTATAAAAAGGCTGGGGATGTAGCTCAGTGTAGTGGTCCTTTGTTTAATCTCCATTACTGCTTCTCCCCCAAAGAATGGAACCTATGTCCCTTTCAACCATAAAATTTTATAAGCCATTTGTTCTTTAACTTACCATTTTGTTTTGTCTTTTAATTTTGGAGGCTGAAAATTACTTTTTGACATTAAGAAGAGAGCCCTAAAATAGAAATTTTAGTTAAAGGACAATACTAAAATACTTTTATTAGTATATGGAACACTCAGAATGAATATTCTGTAACATATTTATACAAGATGATCACATATGGACACACTAAAGAAAAAACACCTTATGGTATGGAAATTAAATTTTTTATATTTTGGGTAAATTGTGGAAAGTTTTTCCTGTCTAGAAAGAAAATACTTAAATTTCAAATAAGCCCTTATTGACCAAAAAGCTACCAAATATTAAAAGGGTTTTTTTTTGCTCCGAATGCCTTCAGGGCAGGTTTGGCTGGCTTGAGTGGTGGGGATTGAACCACAGCAACCTGAGCCTGACTGCTTTGTTGAAGCAGCCACTTAAAGAACTGAGCTAAGGGGCAGGCCCCTGCTACCAAATATTAGAGAAGAGTTCTATTATTTGCTGTTACATATAAAACTAGCAGTACACAGTAGGCACATGTCTATTTAAATTGTACATTATTTTGTAACATGGGAAAGATAATATGTACTCTAATCAAGTTATATGTTTAATCAAAGATTAGTCTCTCATTAATTTGAGTACATAGGCAAACTATATCCCATTTCCAGATCTGTTTCTGTTATTTGGACAATAATTTCTCATATTCTCTCACTGGTGGATTTAAGATGGAGAATTTAAGAAGCTGTATTTAAGAAGGAATTTATAAAATGCTTTGTTTCAGTATTTTCTATGAAATTCCTTTTAACTATCTAACAAACTTATCTTTTTTAACACACCAAGAAACTAAGTTGTAACTAAGAAACAAGAGTAACCAATAAATTGAAAAATATTTTCTCTTTTTAAAAGGAAAATGAGTCAAAGGAAAATTGAAAGAGGACAAAAAATAATTATATTTTCACTACCCTAAAATAGTTCTTAAAATTTCTCTTCCTTTTAAAAAAATTATTTATTTGGTACAGGGTCTATTCTTTTTTAGTATTTATCTAAATGCTTACAATTACAATACAGTATTACATAATACTATGCTCTGCTTTTCTTAATTGCTAATCAATTTACCATGTTCCTTTGGCGTATACATACATTACAAGCTGTCCCTAATTGCAAAATCATTGAACAATTCACCAAGTACTCAAAACTTAGTTTTTTTTCCTGTTACCCTAAAATGGGCAATTCTTAGTCTTTTCTTAGACTGCTGAAGTATAATTTCCCAAGCAGCAGAGTCACTGAGGCATTTGTATTGCCCTTAAGAAAAAAGATAAAATCATTTCCTTGTAAGTCTACAGCTATTAGCATCCCAGTGAACAGCAGGCGTCTTATGATTTGAGTATCTTTAGTTTTCTATGTTTCTTTAGTGTCTGGTACTTACATATAAATAACCTAGTTTTCACTTGTGATTGAATGAATTCTTCATAGAGCAAGTTTCATTTGGGATTGGTCATACATTAGTAGAACATTTTACCCATTCTGCTGATTATCTTTTCAACCTTATACCATCTGAGGTTTAAATTTTAGCTCAACACACTTTCCTTCAAAATATAAAAAAATCTTTTCATTTCATTTTATTTTATTTTATTTTTTTTGCAGTACGCCAGGGGATTGAACTCAGGACCCTGTGCTTGCCAGGCAAGTGCTTATTCTACTGAGCTATTGCCCCAGCCCCAAAAAATCTTTTCAGAAAGGCTTCAAATATTTAGTTATGAAAGACAGTATCTTAAACTATAAATGATTATTATACTAAGTATAGGCAGTTCTTCATTATCTTCAAGCAAATGAAAATCAAGTATCATTAAAAATCAAACAAAAAAACTCACCTATTCTATTATTTACTTATAACTTCACAAAACAACTGATAAAGGATCAAAATAAAAAGATTTGTTTTAACAATAACCACTCTATCCTACTCTGATTATTAGGATAATACGTCTTATGAAAAAGCTTCAAACAATACAGACAACTTGCTGCTGTCTGAAGAGGAGCAACACCACTGAGCAGACTTTATAGATAGGATTACTTCTGAGCTCCCTACAACACTTGAAGTACTTAGATATACTTGAAAATGAACTTGCAATCCTAGATTTACTGGTATTTTACTTCCCCCAAATAATTTATTAGTAACGGGGTTAAGTATAAATAAAGAGAGCACCTCATTGGATGAAGATCAAACATAGGTGGCTGAAGCTCTCCAAGTTCAATGGCTGTTATTCCTACTGCCCAGATATCACAGAGCTGGTTGTAGCCGCCATTCTTCTCCACTGCTGCCACTTCTGGGGCCATCCTAGAAGGGATTAATGAACAGAACATTGTATTTTAAAAAACAGCATGAAATCTATCACTTATTATAATCATTAGACTTGGAAGGTAAGAGACTGAGAGGTGTTTACAGGTGAAGCAGAAACCTTACCAGGAAAACTCCTGAATTCCCTAATCTCAATACTGAGACTCTAAGAAAAACCTTGTCTTCACCCAGTTTGTGATAGGCTAATCTTGCTGGGAAGTAACAAACAACACCTGAAAATCTGTGAAAGTCAAAGAAACCCCTCCAGGAAGTAAGACTTAAAGAACCGATCAATAAACTGGACATGTGGCGCATCCCTGTAATCCAGCACTCTGGGAGGCTGAGGCAGGAAGATTGCAAGTTTGAGCCCAACCTGGACAACTTAAATAAGATCCTGTCTCATAACTTTAAAAAGGGGTAGGAGGGCAAGGGATGTAGCTGAGTGGAAAGATCTTGGGTTCAAGCCCCAGGACAAAAAAAAAAAAGAATCAAGAGACCTGTAACTCTAGTAATCAGCTGGTGATGAGTACAAAAAGAGTATGCATTTTTCCCTCATGTAAATGCAAGATAAACTTTCATCAAATCATTTTTACTTTATAAAAGTTTAATTATATGATAGGAAATGAAAAAGATTCACAAAATATGGCTTGAGGTTCGAGAAAGTGTTTGAAAAATGAACCTCACAAGTAGAGATTAGATTATGATGGCCTATTAACTACATACGAAAGTTTAGACTTTTTCATGAAAATGACACTGATCCACTGAAAGACTTAATTATGGTAACTAGTTTGGTGGCAAGTATAGTCTAATGGTAGCAAGGGCATATAAATTTTCATAGCCAGACAGTAAAGTCATACATGAAAGCCAAAGCAATGCCAAAGCAAAGGGTGAGAAAATGACAAGCGGTAACACAAGTCTTTCTTTTGGAAATTTCATACCTACTGGTCCTCTCAATATAAGACATCCCAGGAACAGCAAAAGAAATTATTAGCACTTTACCATTACAGAAAGCTGGATAATGGAAAAAGAGTATCCAAGTTCCTAATACTAAGTCTCTTGCCTTTCAGTGACCACTTGTATTACACCAAGAACTTTTTTTTGTGGAACTGAGGATTGAATTCAGGCCCTTGCACTTGCCAGGCAAGTGCTTATTCTACTGAGCTAGCTCCCCGGCCCCAATGTATTACCAAGTACTAAGGCTGATTATTAACCATGAATGTCTTACCAATAAGGAGTACCAATGAAAGATTTTCTCTTTGCAATAGTAGCGGTTATTTTTGCAGCTACACCAAAATCAGCTGGTAAGGGAAAAAAAAAGGTACAAAATGTTTAGTTCTTCTCAGTATAACCAACAATTCTAAATTTTATGCACAGGCCTAACATTTTTCAATAATCTGCTATTAATATCAGGGAAATCTGCATTAAATTCAATCTCCAAATCTTTTCTTGCTAGGTTTATAACATTCTCATTAAAGAATTTATTGGAATTTCACTAAAATGGCAACAAAGTTAACAAAAAATATTGATGTTAATTTGGAAAGAAAAAAGCAAAATAAAACACAAAACACATATCAAATTTTTGGGCTGGTGAGATGGCTCAGTGGTCTAAAGCACCTATTTAGAACAAGCTTAGCAAAGCACAGGGACCGCGGTTCAATCCCCCAGCACCACATGCCAGCCAGCCCCGCCCCCTGGTGGGCTGAGCTGGCCACACACACATACACACAAATAAGTGAATAAAAATTAAAAAAAAAAAAAAAATCAAATTTTTGATTACAACATAAAGTATTTTGGTACTATTTTTAGAACATCTTTTTTATATACCTATAAACTTTTGTGTGTTGTTAAATATGCTAATAAAATAATACACTTATAGTTCATTTTTGTCAGTTAATACAACTGGCGATTTTATTCTCACATTCTTTATTAATATTGTGATAACTTACGCATATGACACAAATAATACATCGTAGTTTAAGTTTTTCTATTGTTAGATTTTATATTTTTTACTATAAAGTGATTAATACTTTTGAGTATGGATGTCCACCCTTAAGATTAATTTCCTTTGAGTCTTAAGAACAAACTTGCTGTGTTAAAGGGTAAACATTATTATGATTCTGTATCAATTATTAAATTTGTATATTTGTTAAATCTCATTTAAAATGTTACTAGTTTTGCAAAAATTTAAGGACATGATATAACATACCTAATTTTACATCACCATGGTCTGTCAATAAAATATTTGCACCCTAAAACAAAAATACCAATGTTATTAAATTAGCATCATATATTTTCTAAAAGAATTAGCAATTTAAACATATTAAATGAACTTACTTTGATATCTCTATGCATTTTGCCTTTAGTATGCAAATAAGCAAGTCCCTGAAGTTTAAAAAAAAAAAAAAGTATGCATTAGCAAAGTTGTAAATCTGACTCCTAAATCCTCTACTTAAATTCCTACTGAATAATAAAAACTAGAATGTCTTCTCTAGGAGGGAATAACACAACAGTTTCATTTTACTAATCAATGTATACTGCATCACAGATTATATTTCTAATTCATTTTCTGGTGAAAGAGATATTTTATTAAAATATCACCACAATCAAGATAATAAACATATGCTCCCTTATAATTTTCTTCTTCTTCCTTTTTTTTTTTTTTTTTTTAGGGTGTTACCAGGGGTTGAATTTAGGACTTGCACTTGCCAGACAAGCGCTTATTCTATGGAGCTATCTTCCCAGCCCTTTTTTATTTTTTTGAGCAAACAGTTATATCACACTACATCAATTTTCTTTCCTTTTTTTTTTTTTCCATAATTTTATTGAGAAACAAATAGCAATGAGACAGTTTCAAACCAAATTGGTAGGACAGTTTCAATAATTAACATATTTACATCAATTTTCAAGTTTGTCTGACCCCAGGTGCTTTGCATTTGTGTGGGGATTTTAGGATCAGCCTATCATTTTCTCAATAAAAGAAAAACAAAACGCCTCCTTGGAGTTTGAATGCAATCTGGGGAAGAATTAACATCTGAACAGTGTTACTTATTTAGGTCTTTAATTTCTCAGTAGTTTTTAGTATGCAGGTATTTGGGAACCTGTTCTATTTATCCCTAAGAATGTAACACTATTTATGTTATTATAGATACTTATTTAAAATTTTTATTTCTGATTCTGTTGACAAGTTCGCAAAAATCCAACTGACTTTTGTATACAGACAGATCTTGAATCTTGTAACTTCCCTAACCTCACTTAATGTTCTATTAGCTACTTTAGAGACCATTTTGTTTTCAATATAATTTTGTAATCTTGTGAATAGTTTTATTTTCTATTTTCAAAACTACATATCGTTTATTTCACTGTCTTCTCTTTTTGCACTAGCTTAAACTGCTAATGTTGAAAAGCAGTAGCTTCAGTGGACATCCTTGCTGTGTTTCACCCTGGAGAAAAGCATCTTGCCAGTCTTTGAAGTATGCCTTACTTGCTGGTCTGGTCTTTTTCATAGATGCTCTTTACTGAGTTAATCAAATTTCTTTCTAGTCTTTGTGTGTTCAGAATTGTCAAAGATTAGAAATGCTGAATTTTGCTAAATGTTAAATTTGAATAATCATGTGTTTTTCTTTTTTAGTTTAATGGCCAATTATTTGAAATGATTTGAGGATGTAAGGGAACAATGCATTCTGAACAAACTCCACGTTCTATATGTTATGGTTTTGGCATATTGTTGGATTATCTTTACTAACTTATTTTTAAAATTTTCGTCATATTTACTTGCTGCTATATGACTTGTATGTATTACATTCTAGGCATTAGCTACCTTCAAATGATATACCACTTTGGTACAGTATAAAAATCTATGAAGATTTCCATCTCCCCCTCTTGGTCTATATGCTATTATTTTCATTTGGTTGATACATATACTTAAATTCAACAACAATTTTGCTTTAAAAATCTTTCACATGGACAATTTACAAAACCCCTATATATTTACTTACATATTAAACCATGTGGTTACTATGGGTAAAAATACACTCTGAATCCTTGAGCAGATACGGGTTTTCTTGTGATGTCATTTTAATCCTGCCTGGAGGACTTCCATAAATGTTTCTTAGGGATGGGTGTACTGCTGGGGATTAGCTTTTAAGTTTGCAGCACTCTTTGGCTTTGTTTTTGAAAGACATTTTCTCTAAGCTTGAAGGGAAAATCCAGCTTTTCACTTGAATTATTTCCAATAATAACATGCTATTATTCTTTCCTTTATTGTGTTCTTTTCTTGTTTCTAAGATTTTCTCATCACCAAATGAGCATTTTAATGATGATACCCATCAGTGTGGCTTGTATCATGTTGCCTGAACACAGACTTTGTTGGGTGCTCTGTGGGTTTTTATTAAATTTATAATTTTTTTGGCTATTATTTGTATTTTAAAATATTTTTGTCTCTTCTTCAGGAATACAAATTATACATATATTAGGCCATCTCAAATTGCTCTACAGCTTAGTGATTTTTAAAAATGTTTTTAGTCCAATTCTTATTACATTGCCTAGGATGGCCTCAAACTCCTGCATTCAAGTGATTCTCTTGCCTCAGCCTCTTGAGTAGGTGGGACAAGTATGTACTATCAGTTTATATTTTTAAAAAATTCGTATTTCCCATTTTATTTCTATTGTTATATTCTCAATTTCACAATTGACAACCTCTAACA